CCAAGTCGATAGGAGGAACCAAATGAGTTCTGCAGCATCAACTTTGGACTGCACACATCACTTAGGGGGAATCTAGAAAGTCATGTAATGTAGGAGGAAATGAAAAATGGAATATAAAAGAAAATACAAATAAATGAAAAGAAATCGGATTATTTTAATATTATTATTAATGATTATCAGCTAACTTTTTATCCCCCCAGCTAGCTTATCAGCCATTCTGCCAAACATAGCCTTAGACCCATAGTTTAGTTATAACTCTTGAAGAATTCATGTAGTTTAATGTAACTAAACCTGCAATGCATCTTTTTTCCCGTTTGAGAATTTCATATGTAGCTTAATTTAGCCATTGATTTGTGGTCCTAGAAAAATCATTTCTTCCCATCTTCTTTCTTTCAGCAAGTTTGTTTGGATCTCAAGAATTAGAAATGGTGTTTTGTTTTTGTATGGAGGGGGTAGTCGGGCGTTGTCGTTCGCTTTAAAGTTTAATACCCAACTTACTAGTGTAGGGTAAGTAGGATCGTTCGTCTTAGGGGGTCGGTGGTAGCAGTATATGCAGTTAATATAAGATGATGTAAAGTGCTTAAAAACACGAAAGCAAACTCAAATTACGACTCACACTACAACACAAATCCAGTTTATGTGTGCAAATTCCATGGCCCTAAACTCATGCAAAACAAAGCCTATGATGAATGCAGAAGTATGGGGATACGCACTGGCACAAATGAGCACTTGAATGCTGCTGTTTAATGGTAGAAACGGACAAAAAATACTGCTGTGGACAGCAGCACATAGCTCCCATCACGGGTAGGGAAGTGGGCCTGAAAACACCTCGAAACTACTGGCTAAATGGTGGCATTCTAACCCAATACTTTTGGCACAGAGTCAACATCCAAGCAACGAACATATACTGATATGGAACAGCTGCATGACAGTCATAGGGAATTGCCTTGGAAAACCGTTAATTAAGCCTGGAAATGGTCTCGAGATAACCATGACAAGGGCTATTCTGAAGGTGCAGCAAGTGTAAAGAGATTTGCTAAGGTACAAGGATGTGAAGTGCAATGCTTAAGTGCTTCATAAATGACGGAACTCGTAACCAGGGACGGACCCAGGTTGGTTTATGTGGTGGCACGGACCACCGCTTTGTTCCTCCGTCATATTGTACAAAATTATAGGGTCGTCGAAAGTGTCACAGTATCAATTTGTTGTGTGCCACCGTATATATTTTAAAACTAAGTTTCTCTTGGTAGAGTTAGTTTGCAAGGTTTTTCTTCCACCCCAGACCCGAGTTTGAATCTTGTTGGTGCCATTTTCTTAGTTTTTAGCTTTTAATTTCAGATTTATTATGTTTCTGATTTTTTTGCAATAGAAGACTTGAACTCAGGACCTCACATATGAAAAACAATAAACTAACCAACACACCAATGATGATTTTATGAAAATATCCCTATATTTGTTTCTTATAGTCATATGGCGCCATCACTTGAAAAAATTTCTAGGTCCGTCTCTGCTCGCAACTAACTGGAATGCTTTATGCAAAACTACCTAAACATGCTATTTTTTTTTACTTACACTAGGTTAGCACATTAAACATAAGTTAGATTTTTATACAACCACTGAACCAAGAATGAGAAAAATATGAACACACGACTAGAAACTTGAAAAGATGGAAATTAATATGAAAGATGATTCCACTCTAGGCCACTAACCATAAGGCATCTAATGCAAACATTCAATCATGTAACAATTACATTTAAAGCATGAAACATGAAGGATCATAACATCTAATATCTCGGCATAATCTGTGTATACTCAAATCAACTGTCCTATCACCTAAACTACTTGTATTTGGCATCATAGGGGGTATTGAAATGCTATCCTTGGATTACCAATATATCGCGTTAAAGAACAAACAATAAATAACTTGACATAAGAACAAAAAGCTGGTGAAAGAGTGTCACTTACCTCATCCTCAAGTTTATTCACATACAATGGAAAGACGGATCACATAATTCAAAAACTAGAACGAAACAACCTCAAGTGTTCACACCTCCGTTGGACATGAGCCTTCTAGCTGTCCATATTTTGAACTCCAGCAATGACATTATTGGAGGCCTCATCTAACATCTCTCGGACAGCAGCTTGGTGACATGATGGTTGAAGGATGGCTGGAAGTGTAGTCGTATTATCACAGGAATAAGCAAAGAAGGAATGGCGTTGAAGATCGGTACAACCCTACTTCTCCAAAAGTTTTGGATGTGAGAATGCTGGAAAAATAGCAGCCTCTTGTGCCGTGTAATCATTGATGCACTAAAAGTGGAAAGCATGTTTCTTAAGTCGTCCACATGTACAAAACCCTAATATGTCGTCAAATTTCTTTTCTAGTTGTATCAGTCTCTTCCAAAATATGCTGAATGAAATTTACGAATTTTGTGTGCGACTAACTGGTTTAACATTATGCTATCTGAAGAGTCGTAAACTTATGGTTCTTGTGTGTCTGGCATGATGGTTAACTGTTGTATGGTTGCATCTTTGTTATCAGGGCATAAGGAAACAATGGTCATCAATGAGTGAAAGTGTATTTTTTAATGATTTATAGAAATGAGGATTGCTATCTTAATTCTCTCTGCAATCGTACTGTTTGATGGTCAAGAAATTTAGAGCAGCAATAATGTTTATGTTTACAATTATTTTGTTCGTTTTTATACCTAGTTGTATGGTTATGTTGGGATGTTAAGTAACGTACGGATTGAATGTTTGATGCATTTTGATTTGTTTATTTTACTGAACAGTTGTACTAATGCTTTCATTATTCCTTTTAATTTCTACTTGTGTAAAAGTTGGAAGATGACCAAATGGATGCAGAATCCGAGGAATTTGCGGTAATGTTGGCTGCACAAGGAGTTATTGGGAAACGAGTTGATGAGATGGAGTCGGGCTTTATGATGGCTCTGGATTACATGATCCAACTTGCTGAAAAGGACGAGGATGAGAAGGTTATTTTTCAGATACTATTATATGATTTTTGTACTATCTATTGCAGGTTACATGCATAACCAATCAACTTTCTTCCATAATCAAACAACCATTATTATAGCCATGATCACAGTATTAAGGACTGTTTGGTTGGTTTTCCATTAAGTCCAATATGGATGAAGTTGTCTGTGTGGATTAATCGGTCTTTATAGATTGGAAAAGTGCTTTTTGGGAGGATCCTTTTTCAAATGGAAGGAGTATGTTCTTTAATTGAGAGACACATGCTTGGAAAAAACTTGGCTTTGTGCATGAAGCTCCCCCCTAGAAGCTTACTGGATAAGCCACTTTCTATACCTTTAAGCCACTACCAAAGAGTCATGTATGGCTGACCAAATAAGCTATGAGTCTCATTAAACTCATTAAGCTGCTAATGAACAGACCCTTACTGATATTTAGCCCCGAGTGTCCTAGTGTCTTGTGTGCAACATCTGCTCAGTCAATGTTGAGGCCTAAAATTTGACTAAATTATATTTTTCATTTCTCGGACCAAATTCTCAAGCTAGTGCTTCCGCCTTCCTTTGTGCGCCTTCTTTGATTATCTATGCAACCATCAAACCTACCATTTCCTTTTTCTTTTTTCTTTGAAGACAGAATGCATGCGGATTAGAGATAGAGTGTGACAGTGTGTGGTATCAACTCTCATCGATATTTCATAAAGAAGTGCCTTTAAACATTCTTGTACATTTTTGTGTTTCATTTCATGAATATGTGAATCCTTACAATTAAACATTATTAGTGTACATGGGGTCTGCTGTTTTGTGTGGCTTATTGTAGAGCTGTTCACGCTCGGGATGGCCCTCTAGAAAGCGGGTTTGGACTACCATTCTCGAAGAAATGGGAGGGCCTGGACTGACTTGTTAACGTTAATGGGGGGCACGGGCGATGGGAAAAAAATTGGACAGGCTCGCCCAGCCTGTTAATTTTTTTATAACTTATATAAAGTAACTTGAAAATTCTTGATACTTATCAATTCTCACTTAATTATGACTCATGGTAATAACACTCTTTAAAGATCTAAAAAGTAAAAAACATAATCACGTCAATTGATCAATTCCTTATTATCTCATTTGGTCATTTCCTTTATGGGTACTCCGTATTTTGCAAAACAAATTTTTTCTAAATTATGTACATTGTTAATGTTTATGTATAATTTTAAGTTGGAAAAATTGTTTTGTATTTTGAATAATTTTTACATAAATTGTGATTTTATATAAGTTTTGTTTTCTTAAAAATATAAAAAGATTTTTAGGCCCCGTTAGCCCGTGGGCAAGCCTGGCCCTTTTGTAGGGCGGGTATGGACAAGTTTTCAAGCCCGTAAAAGAAGGGCTTGGGTTTGCCATATTAGACCCGTTGGACAAGAAAACTCCTAGCCCAAGCAGGCAAATGATCAGCTCTAGCTTATTGGTTGGAAAGCCTGTGGACATTCTATCACAACAGCAATTGTCATAGCCAATTCTTGTTTGTGAGCTGTTTATCCAATATGTGTTTTCGTCAAATTTTTGTATGTGACCAGTTCTGGCCCAAAACAACTATGTTTTATGTTTAAAAAGCATGATGGTTAAAATATTGGTCATAACAAGATTTTTGTCGGATAATTTCAGCGGAAGTCTCTATTGGAGGTAATCAAGGAGACGGTATTATCCCATCTTACAAAAAAATGCCCCCCACATGTGAGTACTACAAGTTTTACCCTCAGCTGTTTCCACTAATCTCATCTAGTTATATAATATCTTTTTGTTGCAATTATTTGTAGGTTCAAGTTGTTGGGCTGCTATGTAGAACCCCACGGAAAGAAAGTAGACAAGAATTACTTAGGCGAGTGGCAGCAGGCGGCGGTGCATTTGAAAGTGAGCATGGTGCAAAAGTCCATCTACCGGGGGCGAATCTAAATGACATAGCTAACCAGGCTGATGACTTGTTGGAGGTGATTCTGTGCTTATCTTAAATCCTTGAAGCAATTTCTCAAAAATCTATGTTCCCATCTCAAAGCATAGAAGAAACAAATAAAATTTGTATTTTAACTTGTTAAGTTTTGGCATGCATATATGTTTGTTTTTAATTCTCTTAGTGTGGATTTGCTTTAACATCCTAGACTCTAGAGGCCCCAACTTCTAGTTCTTGAGTATCGGAGTAGATAGTTATCAAGGATATGGAATTTTGAATTATTATCCTTGTAAAAGAAAAAATGGGTGCTGTCTGTTGCAATATATACAAGAATGTTTAATTGAGAATGTGAGATTTGCTTGCTAAATAGGAATGCTGGTATAGCAATTTTCTGTAGAGAAGTTGCTCAAAAGAAAAAATTGAGGTATTTGTTGCGAAGTGTAATAATTGACTTAGACTTGCATATCAAGGGGTTGAATGTTAAGAACTTTATTAAACTGGCCTCGTACCCAGAAAGATATAATTCGCCATCACATAGGATGAAATTGAATTTTGGAGTATCTTTTCTTCTACAAGACTTTAAACTGCTTATAATTTGCTGAAGTAGCATGGAATCAGGTAGGGATGCACAAGGACCGGTCCCAACCGGTCCTTGATTCAGTCCTCACGGAATGGTTAAGAAAAAAAATCCGGACCTTAACCGGTCTTGGTTTGAAAGCTAGGACTGATCTGGCCTGACAGTCTAACTGATCATAGCCGGACGCGGTTTTGTTTTTTCCTTTTTATGTATAAAAAAGTCCACTTCACTTTTATGGAAGGAAGTCTGGATGTCCAGACCTTCACAAATCAGTTTTGACCTGGCCCAATATTTGGTCTTCAATAAGGACCAGTTCTTATCTGGTCATAGATTTGAAATCTATAAAGGAATCAGGTCTGAGGGCCTGGACCGGGCCTGTAACGGGTCCCTAAGGGATCTGTTCTTTGTCTAGATTCGGTCCTCGGGCCTTTTATGCATCTCTAGATCAGGATATTTTTTTGTATACATATCCGTTTAGTTCTTCATCATTTATCTGTTAGATCAAATTTCAAAGCCATAATAGTTCATTATTTTCTTTTGCTGAGATTTGAGAGCAAAGTGTCAACATCAACCAAAAACATGTATTTCTAAAGCAATTTTTTGCTGGACTAAAACTTAGCTTAATTGTCGTGTTATCATCTTCATTCTTATGTTACTGCCATTTTCGCTTCTTCTGCACATTATACCACTATAATCCGTCTTGTCTAAACGAGCATTCTCATTGCAGACCATGGAAAGTCGACCAGTTGTCCCTGACAGAAAGCTTCTGGCAAGGCTCGTTTTGATTAGAGAAGAAGCTCGGAGTATGATGGGAGGTGGATTACTAGATGAAAGAAACAACCGCGGTTTAAATACGCTACCTCGGTCAGAGGTCCGTTTGTTATTCTTTAGAATATGAACTTACTCCAGGAGAACTTTTTTATGGAAAACCTTTAATAACATAATATATGTGTCGTGTACGGGTGAGTTAACACTCAAGGTGCATTTGGTTCACGAGACACAACATCACAGAACAAAAACTTGTCCCGCATTTGGTGCGACATTATACTGGAACATGACAAGACTTCTTTTGTCCCACCAAAATAGGTGGAATAGAAATCCGGGAGATTGGACAAGATTGGTAAATTACTAAACTACCCATGTCAAATTAAAACGCTAATTCTTGAACATTTTTCACCCTCGACACCTCACTCTCGCTCGTCTACTTACCAAATGCTTCTTCATGTTGCATTTGGTACACTGTACAAAACAAAACAGGACAGTGATCATTGTTCCATGTTTGGCAGGACTTTTATGTGAAATAGACTGGAACAAAGTGGTACAGGCGTGTTCCACCCCCACCCCCATGGAACAGGTCGAATGGGCCCATATTTTACTAATATAACCTCAAAATAAAACTTAAATCTCTTCTAAAACATCAAATATGCCTCCGTATTTACATTTTATTCATTCTATTATTGTATTTTATGCTCTTTAAACTTTCACTTTACTGTCCTCAAAATATAAATTTTATACGGCTTCTATATTATGGTTAGTTTATGTAATTTATTAAATATCAGTAATAAAAAGATAATATAGAAAAGGTATAAAATAAGAACGGAAGCTACGTCAACCTTTTGTTTTGGTGTCATCTTAACAGTCTTGTCGAAAACTTTCTAATGATATATTTTGTTATGAAAATACTTATTTTATTACAATTTAATAAATTACATAAATTAATCAAAATATATAAACAACTCATTTGGGTAAATTGGTCATTTTATCTGTTTTGTCCTGTCCAGTTCTGTCTTACCAAATGCTGAATAGTTATTCTGTCCTATATTGTCGTTCTGTCCTATATTGTCCTCTCTTGGATACCAAACGCACCCTCAATGATTATAGACAGTAGGAACTTGGTTAAAAGGTCCGAGCATCCATCACTAGTTAATCTGCATTAACTATTTTATGGCAAATTTCATGTCAATGCAGGTCAACTTCTTAACGAAACTTGTTGCTGAGAAACCTGGGAAAGCAGTGCGTGAGATGATTAAGAACGTAATGCTAGGCAAAGATGAAGGTGCCGACAACACTACAGATGAAGAAAGTAAAAGGGGCGGAAAGGTTAGAAGTGGGATTGCAGGAAGGGTGAGGTTTTCGACTTTAGGTATTGCTTAATAATTCAATTCGGTACATAGATAATAAATGTTCTTGGCACATTGTTTCTAATGATTTCCAGGGTAGTGTTCCTGGGTCGAAACCACATCCGGTGCGCCCTGGCATGTTTCTAGAAACAGTCTCCAAGGTATTCCTTGCTTCTTTCAAATGCACAGAATGTTTCTTTCATTTCTGGGGTGAATATTTCTTGAAATGTGCAACAGGCATTAAAATGTTGGATTGAATATATACATATTGTTGAACATGTAGGTGCTCGGTGGCATATATGATGGAAATATATCCGGCATCACTGCACAGCATCTTGAATGGGTAAGGGCCTGTTGGTTAGCAGCTTAATGGGACTTGCAGCTTATCCGGTCAGCATAATTGTTTGGTAGTCAATGTATAAAAAATGGCTTATTCAGTAAGCTTTTAGGTGGAGCTTTATGCAGAAAGCCAAGTTTTTTCCAAATCCCTTCCAATAAAAAAACACGCTCCTTTCATCCATGAAAATACCTTTCCAAACAAAAACCTCCCAGTCTATACTGAGAGTATAATCTACATAGACATCTTTATTTCTACAAGACTTCATCGAAAACCAACCAAACAGCCCTAAGTGCGCCGTGTCTTTTTGCCTGGTTTTTGTATCGAGAAAAATGACCTGTGGCATAGAGCTTAAATGAAATAACTTGGATGCAAAAATTAGTTAGCCCCTATGCAGTTTTGGACGCAAGTTATCGAGCGTTGGTACATACTATCACAAAAAGACTCGGTTTTTTATTTGAACAGCATAACATGGTATACCCATTGATGATCGTTGTAACCTGACCCAGTAGGCTGCTAATCTTGTTTATTTTCTTGATTGTGTGTCCAGGTTCACCAGAATACACTTCAAATTCTTCAAGAAATAGCATTCTAACTTTGGCGATGGCAACATATGCTCCACACGCATTTTTCGTGCACAAGTTACCAGTGTTTGATCGAGTACGAAAAGGTGCAAGATGCAGAATTGCAGAGTATAGATAACATCAAGTTTGGTCATGGTAAAGTTGTAGACTTGTATGTTGATTTGTACTTATTGCAACTAGCTGTGAAATGTGTACGGTTATACAACCGGTAAATAAAGGCTACACCTTATGGTTCCTCCCCATAGGTCACTGGTTCGAGTCTCCTCACTGACGATTTTTCTAGCTATTATCTTGAGGATTAGTTGAGGCTCCCGCCAAACTTATCATAACTAGCTATGAAAATGTTTGATCGGGTTCTTTATATGCAGCTAACACGAAACCGCACTTTGCGTGGGTGCAAAGTTGACGGGTTAACGATGACGCAAATGCTCAGATCAAAACGAGTGTCCCAAGTGCATTCCAAGTCGTTAAAGGTTTGGTCGTGGATAACCTGAAATGAAATTCTAGATAAAGATTTTTTACCTTGTCATTCAATCTGTCTTCGAGGATGATATTTAGATTTTTGGAATATTCTTCATAGCCTATCAGACTCTGCTTTTGAGTGGGACATACTGTGTTTGAGATATGGTTTGGTTATTCTGTAAATAATATGTAAAACTTGATGTACACCAATGTCACATTGTGGTACCTATGCTTATGATTGCCTCCAGTATTTTTGTAAGTATATAATATTTATATACGACAAATGAAACAAATAAACCCATACATCATCCTAACCTATGGTGAGGTTTGAACCCCTGACCTCCTAGGAGGCCAAGGACTACGATACCGCTAGGCCAAAGACCATTTGGTCTCTACCATTTTCTTTCTAGCTTCCATTTTGTTGTAATGGGGTGGGTTAATGCAGATCTATTATTTGCTAAACGTGGAACTAGTTATTAATATCCTTCTTACACACATCAATATCAAGACATATTTTTTACAGTTTCAGTGTATGATTTGACTTGATTTGATATAAATAGATGTGCATATAGATAGCAGCAACCGTTGTTATTTTGGTATATTGAACTTGTAATCTAATTAATTGGCCCACAAAAATTCATGTAAAATGTCTCCTTGATGTGGTCTAGATGTCTCTCCTAGAGATGCACAAGGTTCGAGTTTTCAACTAAAATTGGGTCCTAATTAGGCATTTTTAAGGTTGTGCTTTAAACAAGCCTTAAAAAAGAGGCTTTATTTAGCCGTTGGCGTGGATTGATCCCTGAGCTTGGGCTTACTAGGACTCGGGGCTTTTCGATCTGGGGTTTGGTCCATCTCTCTCTCTCCCAAGCTAGGTTCGTTGCAAATCGTACATACATGCAATACACACACACACACATATAACTCTCCCCTACTTGCCCATTACGTCTTTTGAGATTGATTTGATTAATAAAGTCGGAATATATCGACAAAAACATTAGCAATTTAACCAAGGAATTTTATGACATCTTGCCTCACACTGATTATGAGCATGAATTATTATAATAGAATCTATAGATATATAAAAAGTTCAAGCTCAAAGCAGGTATGAGCTAGGCTTTCTGGTACAGGCCTAGGCTCGGTCGAGTCTTTTTCTGATGACTGAAACCGCTTTTAACATACTCAAATCTTGTGTATCTACTAGACTATCTTAATCCATTACTTTTAGTTTGATACGTTACAACAACCATTGGAAAAGAGCAAACACCCAAGTCAACCAACCAAACACCAAATTCTTGGATTTGCTTGAAAAGCTGAAACACTTGCAGTAATTTATTAGTTAGGTTCAACTTGGATTATGCGTAATCTAACATAAGTCTTGAGGTATAATCTAAGATTGTAAAATAAATACAAAATTAATGAGTCTTCATTTCCAAGATAGGAATTAAGAAGCAAATGGGTAATATTATATTGTATATAGAGAGAGAGAGAACAGATAAAATGCAAACCAAATTATTTGTACAAACTATTTTTACTAAAATAAACAATGAAATCGACGGTTTGTACAAATGACTTGGTTTGCAAAATATTTCTCCATATATTATATGTATAAAATGAGGTGAGAATAATGAATGAATAATGAAATAAGGAAGAGGTAGGGAGGAATTAGGAAAAGAAGAGAAGCATGGAGTGTTTTGATAAAAGATGCTTAATCCATAAATAAAGAGAGTAATTATGATGGGATTAGTTGATGTTTGTCAACCAATAGACAAACATAGGCTCCACCATGTTCTTCCATTTTTATATTCACTTTTTCTGAAAACAGTCACCAACACGACTCCTGCCTACATATATTTCCCATTCTTCATTCTACATTATATATATATATATATATATATATATATAAAGAAGCGTTCAAATAAAAAACATTTAATTTGTACAAATCATGAAAACCTCATTCAATCAATTATAATTTTTTATTTTGTTCATTTTTTTGTAATTATTAGAGGTTGATTAATCATTTTTATTGTGTAGGGCGTTAATCAAGAATATTATCATCTTTATTATTTTAATTTTAGAGAAATACATGAAATAGTTTTTCATTAAATAAACAATTTCATAACCATATATGAAACAAATTAAATTCATCAAAAAAAATATTATATGAAACAATTTCACAAGATTAAACAATTTAATGAAAAAATTTCATAAGATTAAACAATGAAATCGACGTATGAGGGTGGTCTGTACGGTTTGTACAAATAAAGGTGGTTTTCATTTGATCGTTCATCTCTCTCTCTCTCTCTCTCTCTCTCTCTCTCTCTATATATATATATATATATATATAGGGTTGGATTCACGTGAGACCAAAGGTTTTTCGTGAGACCCGTAAGACCAATTTATGTTCATCGATCAACTTTATAAGCTAATGATCTAATGGTCTAAAGTTGTACGGTGGCAATTTTGTGATTATTGAGAAGTCTCGTGGCAATCTTGTGATTATGAATGTTCAGATTGTAGATCTAATCCAAGAGTTGAGAATTGGTCTTACGGGTCTTCGAATAACCAATGGTCTCATATGATCCCAAGTATATATATATATATATATAGAGGAGCGTTCAAATGCGAACCCTCTCCGTTTGTGTAAACCGTGTGAACCAATCTTAACCATCCATTTTCTTAATCAATTGTCAAGATTTGTAGGCTTTATTTATGGAAATTAAAAAAAAATAAAAATAAAAATTCAATTTATTTAATCAATAAGGGTATAATGGTAAACATAATTAACAATTCYTAAKCTYCTAATCGCAATCTGTCATCAGAATCCCGTCTTCATCGCTTGCATTAATCTCGAATAACTTTGAAAAATAAAACTTTTATTACAATGAAATTACTTCGTTACAATGAAACATCTTCATGATGCATGTATTTCATTAACTTTTTTTTTTTTTTGAATTTTTTTCATTACATATTCCACATGAAACTATTTCGTTATATATTTCACTTCAATCTATCTCRTTATACACCCGTTTCATTAAACGTATATTTCAAAAAGAACAAAATCCAATATGCACTCGTTTCATAACAAAAGAGCGGTTCAACTTCTGATACAATGCATCATGTATCACGATGAACGTAGTGCATTAAACTAGCTATACTTTCTTAACTTTTCACATGAATCTATTTYATTAACTGTTTCACCTCAATCTATTTCATTAACTCTTTTWAATCCATCTACTCCATAATGCACCCATTTCGTGATACGTTGATTTCAAAAGTAACAAAACGAATTATGCAACAGTATCATGACTATTATAACATCTAAACTCAACAACTTCATATACATTTTTTCATGGATCTCAATGAAAGTATTTCATTAGATTTCGAGTTTGTTACAACAATGAAAACGTTTCACTATCATGAACCGATTTCATTAATTATTATCGACCGAAATCTTTTCACCTTCTCCATTAAAAAAAATTGCACAAGCACTGTTACTGCGATACATGAACTATCATGAATCTATTGCATACAACTTCATATTTTTAATTGTACAAGATACCAGAATCCTCATTCCATTGCAATTTCTTAAAATTAAAGATTTTAATAATATATTACAATAAAAGCTTAAAACATTACCATGTTTCATACTTTCTCCTAATAAATTTTCCTTAAATAAAATATATTACTAACTTCTTTAATTATCAATTTTTTTTTGTAAAATGACACAAATAACCTTATCAATTAAATTTAATTAAAAATAAATGGAATTATCTTATTGGTCAAACTTGGTTCACACGGTTCGTAAGAATTGGACGGTTCGCATTTGAACCTGCCCCTATATATATATATATATATATATATATATAATATTTGGTGACAAAGGGGTCAAAGGATTTTGAGTCTAAATCTAAGAAGTTACCATGCTTATTACAACAAAACTAATAAATATATATATATATATATATATATATCATAAACCCTAGAGGACGTTTAGGTATTTTGTAAATATAATATCGTTTATCTGACTTATAAATAAGAAATAAAAACAACTGGTATATAAAAAGTTTTACTTAAAAGTTAAAAAAATATTAAAACTTGTAAAGGGGTTTTTGATTTTGTATACTCATGAAACTTTTATATTTGTTATCATATTTTAATCTTCTTTAGCTGTTAAACGAGTTGAAGGGCCAAATTCTTTCGGTGTTTGTTCCGTTTCAAGTCACTCAAAATAACATGGAGCAAGAACGAAAACCCGTATTATTAATTTGTAAAGTTTTAAATTCAAAACAGTAAATTTAGCCTTTTTAAAGATGATACACAACCTATGCAACTATATATTTTATCATCTATTTACATAAATGTAATATTCGAACTCCAAAACTAAAAATCATTTCAAACTATTTTTAGATACCTGCGTGCCTCAGACATCCCTCTTAGGAATAAGTTCAAAAGCATATACATTTGTTATCATTTCCATATATATTTTTATTTGTTACGCATTCTCGACATCAAATCATGTTACTTAGTTTCATACATGGTAAAAAAAAATTAGTTAAATTTGTAAGGTGATATTAGGTTCGTATTTCGCACTTAGGTCACTTTTTTTTGTGTATACGCTTCATAGAACTCAATATAAATTAAAATAATGCTAGTTAGTCAAACATACGATATGTATATCAGTAAGATGATATATATATATATATATATATATATATATGGCATGTCTATAGATATATAAATATATAACAAAACTTGGAATCACGTGAGACCAGCTTGTTTTAGTAAGACCCGTGAGACCACTTTTTTACACTTGAAACTTCACAACAAAAAGCTGTGAAGGCAACCTTTACAGTGTGATTTGTTGTGAAGGTTCGACTTTTTTCCCTTCACAGCTTTTTCTGTGAAGTTTCAAGTGTAAAAAAGCGGTTTTACGGGTCTCATGAAAACAAGTTAGTCTTACGTGAACAACCTTGTATAACAATCATATTAAAGAATCATAAATTAATATACAATGGCACATGTATATTTTGTAGAATAATTAATATGGAATAAATAAAGTTTATTAAAAATGATTAGATGGGTAATGTGGTATCAATTGTGGGTTATATATGCCTTATCATGACAAGACAAATTCTATAATCTTTTTAATCCACTTGCTTTCCACTTCAAATTTATTCTTCTTTTTAAAAAAAAATATATATTCTTAATATAATAATTATTTTATTA